TCGAAGCAAGCCCGCCGCCACTTGCCCCTGGCCCCAGCCGTCTCCAAGGGACGACGACAGCGCTGAGGCCACAGTAGCTCCCAGCTCTCCAGGCAACGGCAGCAACGTGGAGACGTGGAGGGCCACCCCGAGCCCTCGCTGGAGCCGGTCAGACTCCTTCCGCGACGTACAGCCGGGGCGTTGACCTTAGGAACGAGAAGCAAGGAACGAAGCCCCGTTTTCCCAACTAAGTCCATGAAGTCTGAAAGAACGCCAAGGGTGCTCGCCACCAGAAAAGAAGCGGAACGCATGCAAACCTAAGGAACGGCCGAGCCCCTTTCGAAAAATCAGTGGATCTTATTCAACGCCCCGACTGTAACCAACCATCCCACCGTCCTCAACGGCTGACCCGAGCCCCTCGATGAGCCCAGCGGCCAGGCAGCACGCCGCCGCCAAACGCCCGCCCCAGCCCAGCCCCCGCCTCCCCAGAAGGCGCTCCCGAGACGCGAGCGCAGACGACTTCTAGTCCTCCCAGCAGCGGCACAGCTGGCGCGCAGGGCCCCGGGGAGCCGACAGCCCAGGCGGCCCGACGTCCAGCTCGGGCCCCGCGGCGGGCGGGCCATGGGCCAGGCAGGCGGGACGGGGAAGGGACCCCGGACGCGCCACTGGGCAGGGTGGAACTGGCACCGGCCCCCCGTCGCGGCCCCACGCCGAAGGTCCTGCAGGGGCGCCGCTGTGGAAGAGGCACCGGCACCAGGCAGAGTGGGACGCCCGTTGGTCCTGCTCTTGGGGCGGGGTGCAGCACGACGACAAGTGCCATGAGGCCCCGATCCAAGTGGTCCATCCCGTCCAGGGGGAGGCTGGAGCCATGTTCATCGGGGGCTGGGGCGCCTGGTGCAATGAGCACGCCAGACGCAAGGGCGGCCAGGCCACGAACAATCCGCTCCGGCACTCCGACGGGGACTGGTTCTGCCGTAGCTTCCGCCTGGCCGACAACCAGCACGACATCGTGGCTCTGGCCGCCAACCACCGTCTGCACGTCTACTGGGGCGACACACGGCGCCTCCACACACACACACACAGGGCGCTCCTGGCGGCAGAGGGGCGGGCGGGAAGCTCTCGGCGGACGCCAACATGGCGGAAACGAATCGCCTGCGCGGCCTCCTTGCGCTGGGCAGGGTCGGCCCTGGCATGACGACGGGGCCCCGCCACGCCAGAGCCCGCCGCACCCCAGAGGCCGGAGCACGTCGGCCATCCCGAACCCACGCCCCGTGCGGCCTGGAGGTAGCCGTATGGCCGATGACCTGAGCCCACCACCTGGTCTGTCTTGCATCCCCAGTTGTCGCGTCGAGCGGAAGGAGCCTGGAGTCGTGCGTGCTGGGGGTTGGTCAGGGGTAGCTGCAGATTCGCGCCTCGGGGGCCCAGACCCGAGTTACCCCGGACCGCAGGCATCCCGGATAACTCGGGCGACCAACCCTGCCGAATCCTCGGGGCTGGGGGTCGGTCAGGGGTAACTTCAGATTCGCGCCTCGGGGGCCCAGACCGGAGTTACTCTGGGGGCAGGAAAAGGGGTGTGGTGTAAAGGGGGTGGTGACAGTGCTGGATCTGGCGAGGTCATCCATCGTAGGTCACATCGCCACTTCCACGCTTAGAACCACACTCCTTTGTGCCACGCCCCCTTTCCTGCCTCCAAAGGTTACCCTGAACCGTCGTTGCTTATCCCGGAGAGTTCGCGCGCCCAGATCAGGTGATCTCCTGGATCGGGACTGGGCGCGCTGCCTGGGTCCCCTCTATGTCCTGTCCCCCCCGCCTCCGACGGTCGCGGGGGCCCCAGCCTGGCCCTCGGCGTCTCCGCTTCTTTTTTTGTTGTGGTTAAACTCTCATTTCTGAAAAATAAATATTGTTGATCCCCCCCGTCCGGTTCACATTGTTTTTTCGATTGAAGTGCCCTTCCCGGGGCTCGCACCTTGTTTTTTATTAGGGAAAGTCTTGAGGGTCGAACTGTGTCGTTGGCCCCCAGTTTGCAACAACAGCGGCTCCCGCCTGATACTCCTCATTATTTATTGAAGAATCGCGCTTTCGCTCGGGACTGCTTTGCAATTTGCCACCGGATCGCGGCTCCCGCTTGATACTCCTTCACAATGAATCGAAGAATCGCGCTCTCGCTTGGGACTTCCTCGCAACCTATCACCGAATCGCGGCTCCCGATTGGTATTTCCTTAAAATTTATTCTGATGCCGCTCTTCGACACTCAGGAATCGCGCTCCCGCTACATATTCCCTGGCGGTTCAAACAGAATTTGCGCTTCAACGACCCGCCCGCTCGACCCGCCCGTCTGGGCCTGCCCGCCCGACAAGCCCGTTAGGGACTGCAGTCGCCGCTCGCTGCCCTTCGCCCGCCTTCGATGCCCCTCGCTGCCCGTGCTGGTTCTGCGGTCGCCTTCGCTCGCTGCCCTTCGTGGCCCCGTTGCTGCCCTCAGTGGCCCCGTCGCTGCCCATTGTGGCCCCGCACTATATGCCCTTCGTGGCCCCCGCTCGCAGTCGCACGTCGTGGCCCCATACGCATGCCCTTCGTAGCCCCGCTGTCGCCCTTCGTGGCCCTCCCGCTGCCCTTCGTGGCCCCTTTGCTGCCCTCAGGGGCCCCGTTGTCGCCCTTTGTGGCCCCATATACGAATGCCCTTCGTGGCCCCCGCTCGTTCGCGCCCGTCGTGGCCCCATATGCATGGCCTTCGTGGCCCCGCTGTCGTCCTTCGTGGCCCTCTCTCTGCCCTTCGTGGCACCGTTTCTGCCCTCAGCGGCCCCGTCGCTGCCATCTTTGGCCCCGGATTAATTGCCCTTCGTGGTCATCGGGGCCATTCCGAGGCCTCCCAGAGGTCATAGGAGGCTTTCGGGTGCCTTCCAATCCCCCCGCGCCTTGTTTCCGCACCAGTCTCCGCACGTATCCACCTGCCCCCACTTTTCAGCGTTCTTCCCCAACAATCTCCACCCCTTCCCGCTCGCACTCCGCATTTCTTCCAAATTATCCCCAGCCCCTCCTCCAGATTCCTCCGCGCGCCCCCCGCTCCTCCGCACTCCTCCCGGTTCCTCTTCTCCACTCCTTGCCGCTCCTCCTCCTGATACGCTATTCTTGTCCACGCCATCCCAATCCACTCCACGTCCCCACTCTCCCAACATCCCGCTTCTTTTCATGGTTCCACGAAATTTGTTTCTGACACCAGTTCGCAGCTGTAGGTCCCCCCCGTGGGGGTATCCATGATCTGTTCTTTCGAGGGGGGTGGTACGTGGCGCTGTTTATGGCGCGACCCGTGGCGAAACTTATTGTTAACCTGTGTTGGAGTGGCTGGCGCAAGCCGTGGCGCAAGCTGAATCGCCACTCACAACGCAAATCATCGTCCTCCCCCCTTCTTGCCCCTCCCCTCCCTTCCTCCAATCCCTTCGTCCTCACTCTCCCCCGTTATCTGCGACCCTTCGTTTTCAAGGGCTTCACCAACCACACGTGGCAGGGAATGCATATACCCCCCAAAAGGGGGTACGATCGAAGACGAAGAGAGCGGGTATCCAGGGTTTGGGATATGCATATTGAATGACACGCGAGCAGATAAGAGCGAACAGTCTTAAAATAACTGTTGCTGTTGTTGCTGATTTTGTTGTTGTTGTGGTTGTGGTTGTGGTTGTGGTTGTTGTTGTCGTCGTCGCCAGTGGCGGTGCCGAGTGTGTGTTCCCTGTATGCTCGCTGCCCCGCCCGCCAGCGAGCCCGCTGCGGTGGATCCATCCTGACCTCCTGCAGAGGCCCCCTCGTCGCCCTGGGCTCCTCGTCGCTGCTGCGCAGCGGGCTCTCTCTCTCTCTCTCCTCTTCTCTCTTCCTCCGCCTCCCTTCCTGTCGCCCTCCTTAGAGGAAGAAACAACAAATGGCATAAACATAAACTTTTGGCGCTCCGACTTTTGGCGCTCCGCGCGGATTTCTTGGATCCGCACTGGGCCCCCTCGGCGGTGCCTCCGGCGCCGCCCCTGGCGCGCTCCGCGCGCCAGGGAGGGGGGCCCAGCGCGGACACAAGAAATCCGCGCGGATCGCCAACAGTTTATGTCGATGCCATTTCTCGTCTTCGACCCCTCCTCCAGCCGTGCCCTGGCTTCCCCTACGGCATTATTATGCCCGCCGCCCATCCTGATGACTGCTTGCCTCTCGATGGCCCCCAGCGCTGCCACCCCCCCCTCTCACTTCGGCAGCTCGCACTCATCCGCACAGCCTGCGAGCACACCGGCTCCCCGCGCCTGAGGCTGCCTGCGCGCCCCTCGCGACGCCGACCTTCTGCGTCTGAGGCCTCCCCTGGCTCCCTCCCCTGCAGCCGCCCTCTTCTCTTCCATCTGCTGCTCGTGCGTGTCCACAGCCTGGCGCGGCCTGCCGGGTGCTTGAACGCGTTAGCCTTAGGTCGGGCCTGTCCCCCTGCAGGGAAGTTTTGGGCGAAGAATAAAACAATTCTGCAAAAATGCTCCCCAAATGCTCGAAAATAGTCACAACATCGTTCCCCGGCTATGTATCTACTATTTTGGAATTTCCCTCCTGCAGAGGGACAGGCCCGACTCAACCTTAGCGTCCACTCTCGCTGCTGGCGACACGACTGGCTGAGCTTCTGCTTCCTCCTCCTTCGCTCCGTGGCCTGCGGCACGGTGCCCGCCGCAGAGGCCACGCGTGCCCTGCGCCACAAGCCCTGTGACGCCAGGCACCGCCAGGACGAGGAGGAGGAGGAGGAGGAGGGGGAGGAGGAGGAAGAGGAGGAGGAGAAGGAGGAGGAGGAGCATCGGTAGAGCTAGGAGCCCTCGAGGACTCGAACTGCCAGGGCACCTTTTGGGGGGGGCGCTCCTGCCTCGGCCCGGCCGCCAGGCTGCCCTCCACGGAGCTCGCCCGCCGCCTGGCGTATGGACCGCGGTTGCCGTTCGGGGCCCCGTGTGGGACACCGTGCGGGGAGGCCCCCTCGTTCTCCGCACAACGGCGTCGCGCACATCTGCCCCCCGCACGACGGCGTCGCGCACGTCTGCCCTCCACCGGCGCGCCCCGACGTTCACGGCGCTTGGCACCGAGAGAGGCTCGGGTACGGCAGGTTCGTGCCGTGCCGACCCCAGCGTTGGTTTTTGACACCGCAGGGATCGTTCAACCTTGAACGATCGGCCGCTGCCGCAACGTTTGATCGTTCAACATCGATTGATTCTGGGTCGCCGGCGGCGTTCAACCTTGAACGCCCGCGCTGGGGTCGCCGCTGGTCGACACGACGCAAACCTACCGTACCGCGTACCGTGTCGTCTTCTCCGTCGCACCACCACGGCGCCAGGGTCTGAATGCTCAGTTCGATCTGTACGGTACGCGGCCACACTCAGCCAATAGTGCTGCGCGGAGCGCCCACTAGCCAGGCGCCCGCGTGGACCCATGGTCCGAATCGGTCCGTTGTTTGCTTTGTTCTCTATCTCTCACTCTCTCTATATATATATATCCCTCCAAATAGAAGCTTGTGCTTTCTATATATCTCTCTATGTATATACATGTATAAAAATATGAGACATGTGTATACACTTTCTTCGCTCCTGGTAAACACTTCGCTTGTTTATCATCTCCCTTTCTCTGTATTGTTGCCTGTCTCTCCCTCTCTATCTCTCCATCGCTCTCTATCTCTCTCTCTCTCTCTCCACTCTCTCTCTCTCTCTCTCCTCTCTCTCCTCTCTCTCCTCGTTCTCTTTCTCTCGTTCTCTCCTTCTAGATTTCTCTCTTTCTCTCTCCTCTCTTTCTTTCTCTCTCTCTCTCTCCCTCTCTTTCTGTCGTTCTCTCTTTCTCACTCCCTCTCTCTCTCTCTTCCTCTCTCTTCTCTTTCCACTCTCCTCTCTCTCCTCCTTCCTCTCCCTAGAGAAACACCTAAACAGCCCAGGCCCACATGCGGTCCTCATCCCTTCCTGCTCCTCCTCCTGATCTTCCAAATTCTGCCTTCGTCATCTTCCCGCTCCCTTCCTCACTTGAAACTCCGCATTCAAGCCAAGACCTCATGGCCAGCGGCCCGTGACGGCCACCAGGAACCACCCAAAAGGCCTTCCCAACCTCCAGGATGTCCTGCGAACCTTCCTCGTCACCCTCCTCCCGTGCACACCATGAAGAAAAGGCGTCCGAAGGACAGTGGCCCTGAACTTCTTCACCGATTTGGACCTGTCGGGCCCTTCTGGGGCCCGAGGACCGTCGAGATACGACTCTGGAGGCAAGCCTTGCCGTGTGAAAACCTGCAGCTCCACGACCTGCTTCGCTGCCAATGCTCCACCTCCTTCGGGCTCCAGCGTCAACCTTTTCGCGAGAGCGCTGCATGGGGGACCTTATATCTGCTCACGCGGCTCCATCTTCGCGGCCCAGTCAGACCCAGAGCGGCACGGATGATATCTTCTCGCGCACGGCTGGCTCGTCCCAGTGCGTGGGTGGATGGAGTCGGTTCTTGTGGTTTGCTCAGTGGGGGCATGTGCAGGGCAATCGGCAGAGATCCCCGCGGGGCATGAACAAGACTAAGCCAACAGACGAGCAGCGAGAATGCGAAATACAGCTTGAACTGCTACTGCGACCACTCCCAAACCATCCTCGCTCTCCCCCGATGACCTCCCCCCCCTCCCCCGCTCTCCTTCTTCCCGATCTATCCGCTGTCGCACAGAATCCCGAGGAGCAGAGGAGCCGCATTCTCCACGAGAAATGGCGTGTGTACGGCTGCCCTTTTGTTTCCACGCCTGCTCACCGTGCAGGGCGAGGTCGACCCCCCCCGCCCGCCAGGCGGCTCGCAGTCGATAAAGATGAGGGGGCAGCGTCCTCCTCCAGCTGATCCAACTTCTCCTCCTCACTCCTTCCTCCTCATTCCAGCGCAGCGAAATGACCCATCAATTCGCCCAACTCCCCCCGTGTTCCTCCTCCTCCTTCTCCTCCTCCTCCTCGCCCTCCTTGTGGCCGCTGCCGCCGCCGCCGCCGTCGCCGTCGACGTCGTCTTCGTCGTCGTCGTCGTCGTCGTCGTCGTCGTCGTCGTCGTCGTCGTCGTCGCCGTCGCCGTCGCCGTCGCCGTCGCCGTCGCCGTCGCCGTCGCCGTCGCCGTCGCCGTCGCCGTCGCCGTCGCCGGCGCCGCCGTCGTCGTCGTCGTCGTCGTCGTCGTCGTCGTCGTCGTCGTCGTTGTCGTCGAAGTCGTCGTGGTCGTCGTGGTCTTCGTCGTCGTCGTCGTCGTCGCCGCCGTCGTCGTCGTCGTCGTCGTCGTCGCCGTCGCCGTCGCCGTCGCCGTCGCCGTCGCCGTCGCCGTCGAAGTCGACGTCCGCATCGTCGTCGTCGTCGTCTTCCGTTGTCTTCCGTCGGCGTCGGCGTCGGCGTCGTCGTCGTCGTCGAAGACGCCACGGCTGTTGCGGCGGCGCGCCCCTGCCGAGCGGGCGCGCCCGAGGGCGACGAGCGAGGGGGGCGGGGGAGGGGGGTGGGGCGGCGCCTCGGTGCTGAGCGTCAGGTCCAAGAGCTGCGCGTAGACGGTCCAGCTGAGGATGGGGGAGTGGGGGAGGACCGGGGGGGGGGGGAAGAGGAGAGGGGAGAGGACAACGGAGGGGAGGGAGGAGGAAGAGGGAGCTGGCTGGGCTGCGAATGGCCTAAGGCTGGCAGCGGCGTGCCGCGTCAACCACTATATCGTATACTAATTACAAAACTCTTCCGCACTGCTTGACGATGCTGCGGGCCCTGGCGGTGGCCCTCAGACCGCGAAGAGGGATGGGGAGGATGGAGGACACGGGTCCTGAGGGTAACGGGTCCTGGACCCCAGTGCCTCCCCCCCCAGGACGACAGTCTCATCCCGAGTCGTTGTCTGACGGCCCCAGTGCTCCTGGAGGGCCCCGAGAGCACGCAGACGGCGAAATACCTCAGGACCTCTTTCCCTCAGGACCCGCTTCAGATGGCGAGGATGGGGAGGATGGGAGGAAGGAGTGCTTTCGGACTGCAGGCTACCGCGGTGCAGCTGCGTGCGCTGGTGGGCCCAGGGAGGGCCAGTGGCAACCGATCAGCCCGAACCAGGGGCAAGAGCGAGGGAGACTCATCGCGTGGAGCACCCGGGAGAGCTCCAAGCAGTACACCACCACCAGCCCTGGCCAGGCCCATCCATCGGGCCCTGGACTGGTGCACAGGTCCTGCTGGCCCAGGCCTGGAGTTCTGTGCAGCAGTCCAGGGCCCAGGGTGGACCTGGCCAAGGCTGGGGGTGGTGTATTGCTGGCGTCCCTCCGAGCACCCCTGGGGCCGGCTGAGCGCTCTCTCTTTCTTTCTTTCTTTCTTTCTTTCTTTCTCTCTCTCTCTCTCTCTCTCTCTTTCTCTCACGACTCTGGCACGATGTCGCCCCGCAGTTTGTTTTAAACGTGCCCAGTTAGACGAAGCCGACAGCACAGCAAACCCACGGCAAACCTTGCATCTGAGGCCGAATTTGCCCCGGTGGCCGCGGAGCCCTCTCGCAGACGGAAGGCCGCGCGTCGGAACAAGCGGCGCGCCGACACATCATGACAGCCCACCAGAGGCTGCAACACCGTCTTGCCAGAGTATCGGCCATGTTGCAAAGTGCCCGATGCTGCGTCCTCGTCCTGCTTCCCTTGTCCTTCTCCGTTCTCCCTCCTCCCTCCTACAGCATCCGTCATCGACCCTCCATCCTCCGTTCTTCACCCTCCCCCCGCCCCCTCTCCATGCTGCTCCCTCCTCCATTCTTCCATCCCCCCAACCCTCCTTCTGCTCCTCCTGCTTCTCCTGCGTCCAGAGGGTCACCCTCTTTCTTCCTCCATTCTCCGTCCTCCATCCTCCTCCTCCTCCTCCTTCTCCTCGTCCTCCTCCTCCTCCTCCTCCTCCTCCTCCTCCTCCTCCTCCGTCGACAGGGTCCTGGCGACCACCGATGTCTCCACCACGCTGCCCTCTGCGGAGCCGTGCGTGACCGTCCACCTGCCCCGGCGACGGCGCCGGGCGGGCGGCGCGGCGCGGCCCGCGGGACGGGCCCCTGGCCGCTGCAGGTCTTCGTTGGTGTCGTGGTGGTCGTCGTGGGCGTCGTGGTTGTGTGGGTTTCGCACAGTGCGGATTATGGGGACCCCGAGCCCGCAGCAGGACGACTTCTGGGCAGAGCGCCCGGGAAAGCTCGGGGAGTTCTCGGGGAAGCCTGGGGCCGGGCAGGAGAAGCTCGAGGCGCCGCAGGGCAAGAGGCGAGGGCCTGCGCCTCTCCCACGGCCTCCTCCTCTTCTTCCACGTTTCCCTACCCCCCCCCCACTCCGGGGAAACAACACTCGCATCTGGAAGTTCGATCATTAACCTTCAGAGGTTGCGGTTTACTACCTCCCAGAATCTCCCTATACAGAGATAGAGAGATAGAGAGAGAGAGACATGAAGACAAACATTAGGAAACAAGGCCAACCTGAGGGAAGCAGAAACAAACAGAAGGAAGCACGGCCAGCCAGAGGGAAACAGCGAAAGACAGAGAGCCAGAGGGAGGTTATAACACTAACCTCCAGATGCTGAAGCTTCCTACTGGTACTCCCCAGAACCTCCCCAGACACAGGGAGAAACAGAAACAAGCATAAGGAAACAAGGCCAACCAGAGAGAAACATCGAAACACAGAGAGAAAGGAGGTTAGAACACTAACCTCTAGAGGTGAAGGTCCCCTACCTCCCAGAACTTCCCTATACAGAAACAAAAACAGAGACAAACATAAAGACACAAAACCAACGAGAAGGAAACATTGAAAAACAAGACAAGAGAGAGTCGTGTTTGGTTGTCAGGCTGCGAGAAATGTGCCGCGCCGCCCCGCGCCGTGCCATGCTTGATCGTCACAATGCAGCAAGTATGCCGTACCGTGCAGTGCCGTGCCTGGTCGATGGCGACGGCGGTGCCGACGATCGTCTCGCGGCGACGACGACGATGACGACGATGGCAGCGGCAGCGGCGGCGACGACGACGACGACAGCGACGGCGATAGCGACGAGATCGACGACCACGACGGCGAAGACGAGGACGTCGACCACGCGCTCTCCTCCCACCGCCGGCCAAATCCCGGTTGTCTCGCCGCCATGGCCGCGCGTTCAGAATGCCACTGCGGTCGCAAGTCGCCGAGGGCTTCGTGGTACCTGAGACCTTGTTAGACGCGCGAATGTGCCCGGCGCCGACAGCTCCGTGGAAATGTCAAACTGTGCGAAACGCGCACTTAGGTTATCGATGCACTTTGAGCCCCTCGTGGAACTTGCGGGGGCGCTCGGCGCCGAGAATTTCTTGGGCCTTTGATGCCGCGTGGCACGCGTGGATGGGCTCGGCACCGAAACTTTTGGGACATTCCGAAACATCGTGAAACCGTGTGAGACGCGTGATTGGGCTCATCGATTTGAAGCCCTGTGAGACGCGTGGATGAGCTCGGCGCCGAGGGCTCTGGGGCACTCTGACACCGCCCGAGGCCACCATCGGGACCCACTTGGTGTAAACAGGGCTTGTGCCCTTTATGCAGAGGTTGACACCTATTCGACACCCTCGCACTGGAATCGCAGATTGGGGACCGGAGAGTTTCAAGGTGGTTCGAGCATTAGGTCGGGCATGTTCTCCTACAGGCGGATTTTGGAGGACAAATGAGAGACTGTCAAAACATACCCCAAAATAGTGTTGCTCGTCGTTCCAGGTAAACGTAGTTCCTTAACGTTGTGTTTCCTTGTTGTTCCGCTATGTATCGGTGGGCTCAAATAGGAGACCCTAACATCTGGGGGTTCGTGTTCGAGCCTCCCTAAGCCTGCGGGCCTGACGTCACCCTGGGGGACGCGAGGGCATCGACGACCCGGGAAGCTCCCCCGCTCGGGGGTCGTGTTCTCCAGCCAGGACTGGAACCTGGAGACGAGCTGGGGGGGAACAGGGGCCCGCCGCCGGAGCCAGGAGCCCACAGTCGAAGATCACCTCCAGATGAGGTGCAGAACCAATCCATTACCAGCACGCGCTCGAGCGAGACCGAATTGTCGATCATGCAGCCGTTGCAGCAGGGCTTCTCGCACCCTGGCATAGGCCGCGTCACTCTCTGCGCCTCCAGCCGCCTTCCACGGATCCACCGGGAGCGGGTGACCACCGATGGCGAACGGAGCGCCAGATCCAGGGCATCCTCGAGTGATGCCAACAATGGTGTCAAGCAGATAGCAGCAGATACGACCGTAACTTCCAACACATCTGACGTTGGTATGCAAGTGCTCGACAAACGGCATCATTGGGAGGGGAAGGCCAACAGATGCCAAGGTCATCATGATCCAGGCGTGGGACGCTGACGGGAACGCATGGATCGAAGGACACCAAAGCTGCAAACATCGAAGCCATTCGAAACCTGACGTCGAGCCCAAGAGTGTTTAACCCCGACATTCTTCTCGCCTGCAAAGACTTGCTGCGACAAGTGAACCTTGTCGCCGAGCCGTCGAACGAGACTTTCGACACCAAAGAAACACCGGTGACGAGCTTGCTGGGGTGCCGTTTGAGGCCCAGGGGTTTAGTCTGTCCAGCTTGCCTAAAAAAACAGTTGTCAATCTTGTTCCCTGTCGCGATGAAGACTCCTCGCGCTTCATTGAACGTAGGTAACATAGCTGTGCCACTTAAGACAGACCAGAAAGCGCCGTCGATACTGCTCAGATCCTGAGGGTACCGCTTCCCAGTCCGAAAACGGGGCCCTTCGAGCCCAGGGGCACCATCACGAGCAATGCGCCGTTGGAGAGACTGAAGAGCGGGTGGAGGAAGGTCGGGGAGACCTATACCATCACAGTATTGTCGGAAGTACTATTGGGCGGCTGCTCAATTGATAACTTGTTCTGAAAACACTGTCCGCCAATGATCTCCAAGCAACCGCAGTGCATCAGCTGGCGCCGTGACAACCGAGCCCCGTCGGTTGACCGAATCCCCTACAAGGTTATCCTGCGGTCAGAGGGCGTCCAGAGGCGGCTCCTGCGCTTTGTGCCTGTGGGCTCGATCGGGCTAATCCCCAGCATTTGAAATATCGTGGGTCTGTTTGGCTTCTGTTTGCTTGGCTATCGCGTGGTGGATTTCGTAGGCTCGCCTCTGAACTCAAGCGGGTCGATCAGCTCTACGGTCCCCACCAGCGGGTCGATCCGAACAAACGCCAAACACGCTGAGCAAGTCGAGCGTCTTGCCTCCAGGGGCATCTTCCGATTCTCTTGATCATCAGAAGCCGAGAAAACTTGACGAGGAATATTCCCTACCTAGGCTCTGCCTAGAAGGATTCTTACTCTCTATCTTAAAGGGGCCGGGCAGTGGGCTTCGCCCCGTGCGGTCCCCCCAGGATCCGCCCCGCGGTTCCCCGAGTTATGTCCCGTTAACTTAGCGTTGCTTATCTCATCTTAGCTGAGCTTAGCTTAGCTTCGCTTAGCTTAGCTTAGCTTTGCCTAGTCTAGCTTAACTTAGCTTAGCCTAGCCTAGCTTAGCTTAGCTTGGCTTGGCTTATCTTAAATTAGCTTAGTTTAGCCTAGCCTAGCTTAGCTCAGCTTAGCATAGCTTACCTTACCTTAGCTAAGTTTGGCGCGGCATAGCGCAGCGCAGCATTAGCACAGCACCACATAGCATAGCATAGCTCAGCATATCATAGCATATCATAGCACATCATAGCATAACATAGCATATCATGCCATTGATTAGCATAGCACAGCGCAGCATAGCATAGCATAGCACAGCAACTCATACCATATCATACCATATCATATCATAGTGCAGTATAGCATAGCATAGCATAGCGCATCATATCATAGCATCGCATATCGTAGATGTAGGTGTAGATGTAGGTGTAGATGTGGATGTAGGTGTATATGTATATGTAGATGTATATGTAGGTGTAGATGTAGGTGTAGATGTATATTTGAGTCTCGCTGTTGATGTTGATGTAGATGTAGATTCAGGTGTAGATGCAAATGTAGCTGTCGGTGTAGATGTAGATGTTGCTTTCCTAAATGCTCCAACTCCTAGGCCGGGTCGCACTGGGATAATGTTCAGATCATGGAATCCCGGGCGACCCTGGCGGCCTCACGCATCATCTCGATGTGAAACGCTAACCTCAGTGAGGGGGTCAACCTGCTCTGGTCACACTCAGCCTCAATAATTTCCAGGAATCGAGCATCATCAGGGTCTCACATTATTCGGGATTGACTGGCCTTTCTGAGGCTGGAATGGGGCCAGCGAGCAGGAGTGTGACCTGGATCGGTTCATGGTCGGTGCTCAGTATGCCAGGATATTCTACCACCTTCCATGCCATGGACAGCTGCAGGCACATCCACCCTGGCATCGAAATGAACTGTCGATCTATGTAGCTGAGCATCCGCCTAGGCTGGCAACGGTGCGTGGGCTCGGGGCCCTCCAACTCTACCATCCTCCTGAGTGCCTCCGTCCGCATAGAATTGTGAGAAACCCTCCACTCCTGAAGATACCTATGTGACCGCTCATCTATCTCGGCATCAGGCTCCTTGTGCGGCGGCGTGCAGGAGAAGTTGGCATTACCTGAGACCATTACGAGCAGCTTAGCGGGATCATCCTCTGCCATCGCGAGGTCTCGTGGGATCTCTTCAGAGATCCTCCTCCTCCTCCTCCTCCTCCTCCTCCCTCCTCCTCCTCCTCTCCTCCTCCTCCCCCTCCTCCTCCTCCTCCTCCTCCTCCTCCTCCTCCTCCTCCTCCCCCTCCTCCTCCTCCTCCTACTCTTCCTCCCCCGTCCTCCCTCCTCCTTCCCTCCACCCTTTCTCCCTCACTCCCACACACCAGCATTTCTTGTTGGCGTGATGTGGATGAGGGCAGGGAATCAGAAGGCAGCGCAAGGCAACATAAGGTAACACATGACAGGACACCCGGTTGCAATACAAGCCACACCGTCCTTGACTCGGCGGCGAGTCTGGGGGGGGAAGTGAGAAAGGGCGGGCCCTCTCAGAAGGATCGGACGGCCCCGGGCCTCCTGGTAAATTCTCATGGCTTTCCCCGAACACACTGGCAACTTCTCAGAAGGCCGGAGGGCTTCTGAGAAGCCCTGCTGCCTTCTGAGGAGGCCTCCTCCTTCTCACTTCCCCCCTTCGCTTGCCGCCAATTGACATCACCGACAATCATGCGATCGTGTTTTTAGGCATTGTTTTGCCGATCGGCGCGGGCCCTCGCACTCCCCCTCCCCCTCCCCCCATTGAGTAGACCTTGGCTGCTTTTGGCGCCTGTTTCAAGCAGGTGGAGTCTCCCCTATCGGACGCACTGTTGCAAACAGTCGCGCTGAGCAGAGGTCCGGAGCCAGACCCGCCCCCCCTCCCCCCTCTTCCGCCCACTACCGAAACGCAGAATAAGAAAACGCTGACCATACACGTACCTGCCAAGCATACTTAACACCAACGTCACGGGTAGCGTGCAGTTGAAACGAACCATGGTTACAATCACATCTCTGATGCGCTGCACACGTACTCGGTCGTGCAACGGTCCACGCTCACACGATGGCAAGATGATGGGCCAGAGGAGATCGGGCTTGGGATGTGGATCTACGTCGCTGGAGTTGGTTTTTAGGGCTTCTGCATCCGAAGTTCGGGGGCGTCGTCCGTCACATCCTCCGCTTCCTCCTGGCCCCCCTGCACGCATGCCTCTGCGTCGTCCTTGTCACCCTGCACACCCGTCTCCGTGTCCTCCAGCCCTCCTGTCCCACTCCCCCCCTCCTCATTCCTCTCTCTCCTTCTTCCTCCATGCTCCCCTTCTCCTCCATCCCTCTTCTCATCCATGTAGATGACTCCTCCTCCACCTCCTCTGGCCACGAAGACATGTCGATGGGGCGGGACGGGGCGTTTCGCCTGAGACGTCTTCACCGTCTTTGTCATCGACGCCAGAACGTTCGAACAGCTACGGGGGTGAAGAGGGGGGGGACAACATGTGGCTCTCAACCTAGCGCTTCGCATACTCGTCTGAAACATTTGCAGCACTTACACGGACGGAGGGGCAGGGTTGTTGTCAAACTTTAGCCATCGCCTAAGCGCCACTCCCATTGATCTAAACACTTCCCACGCTTCCAATAGTTTGACGGATGGAGTTCGCATGTTTTTGGAATCAGGTAGTTCTCGCATGAATGCCGCGCCCACTCATCTTGAACGCTTCTGGCAATTACACGACTGGATGGGGGATACTTGTCAAAGCGTGGCTCTCGCCTCAAGACCGTGCGCAGTCATTCAAAACGCTTCCGACACTTCGACGGATGGATGGGGTGGCTATCAAAGAGCACCCCTCCCCTGGGCGCGGCTCACATTCGTCTTACCATTTTCCAGTTGTTGCACGGATGAAGGGGGGGACCTTTGGAAACGTGGCTCTCCCATGAGCGCCGCGCACAAGTCTTGAAAGCTTCCAGCAATTACACGGATTGGGGGGAGGAAGGTGGCTTTCAAGCTGTGGTGCTCGCAAGAGCGCAGCGCACATTCGTCTTAAAGCCATCCGACCAGTTACGCGGATGGAGAGCGTCTTCTTTTCAAACTTTCGCTATCGCCGATGCGGCACGCACCTGTGTCTTACATCATCCCGATAGTTGCACGCATCGAGGTGGTTTGTTGAGACATGTGGTTCTCGCCTTATCGCCGCGCACCTTAATCTGAAACGTTTCCAGCAATCACGCCGACGGAGCACAAGTCATCTGAATCAAGTGTATGCTGCCTGGGCGTCGTATGTGATTCGCGAGTGCCTGGTAGCCCAAACAACGCCAAGCAATGCCAAAGAACGCCATGCACCGCAACGCAATGGCAAGCAAAGCAACGCCAAACGATACAAGGCAATGCCAAACAATGCAAAACACCGGCAAACAGCGCAAAACAATGCAAAGCAATGCAATGCCGAGCATGGCAATGCAATGCCAAGCAATGCCAAACAAAGCCGCTTAGGAAGCGTTACCCCACGCCAAGCAAGGCAATGCACTGCCAAACAATGCCTAATAATGCCGCGTAGGAAACTTTTCCCTAATTTGGGCTGCGCCGGGTTCATCACATCGGAGCTCTCGTCGTTAACGGGAATGAAGAGGAATTCTTGTAGAAACCAATGGTTGAGGGACTCGGGACGGCTGGCCGTATTGCAGCATCGTTGCATCTTGGGGTTGCTCTGGTCAATCCTCGTCCTTCTGCTTGTCGTATAACCTCCTCGCCCGACCGCTAGCCCCTCCCCACCAGTTCTCGGTCTCGTCCAGGCCTGCCGCGGGGTTGATGGTGGACAACCTGAACGTGATCAGGTAGCCTGCTTCCAGCGCGACGTCGCCCGAGGCCCCCTCCTGTGCTGCCGCTGCTGCGAGTGCCGCAGCTGCCGCCGCCGCCGCCGCTGCCGCTGCTGCTGGTACTGGTGCTGGTGCCGCTGCCGCTCCGGGTGCGGGTGCCGCTGCTGGCGCTGCTGCTGCTGCTGCTGCTGCTGCTGCTGCTGCTGCTGCTGCTCTCGCAACTGCCCCCAAAATCAGAAGGCCAGTGTGCCCAGCCAAGGGGCACCGACCCTGGCTGGGTCCATCCTGGGCCCAGGATCGGTGAAACTGCCCCCCCGTCTTGGCGAGGGACGCCTGTGCACCGACCCGGGGCCAGCTTGGAGTGGGCCTGGCCAGGATCTCTGCACGCGCACCGCTGGTGCCCCCCGACAGCCCTGGGCTGCCGCAGGCCGACCGTGCCCGAGAGCAGCCGGCGCGAGAGCCCGGGGAGCGGCTGGCTGCGCCTCGGCCTCGCGAGCGAGTGGCGGCCGGCGCGGCTTGCCGCGGCAGCCCGCCTCCACGCCGCTCTACGACCCCCCCGTGCCCCATCGGAGCCCCAGCGCGTCCCAGCGATGCGTGGTCAGAGATGCTTATCCCCTATCCCTCGCCCTCCTCGCCCCTCCCTCCCTCCCTCCCTCCCTCCGAGTCAACGGGCGCGCTGGCTTTCCCCCGCCTGCCCATGCCCCTCGGCTCATCAACGTCGAATGTGAGCTGGCACGCTCTGTCGTCGCAGGAGCACACCGGCTCGGTCGAGGGCAGGGGGATGACCGCGGCGGTCCACGCGAAGCCGTCGCAGACGCCCCCACCTGGTGGCGGGTGGCGGCGCAGGAGGGGTCGCAACGGCAGCAACATCCCGTGGCGACGCGGGAACATTCGCGCCAGAGTGAAGCCTGTCGCCGCTGAGCGCATATACTTGCCAGAGGACTCTTTCAACGGACGGTTGCCCAACCAAGCTCTCATGGCTCTCATGGCTCTCCTGCACCGGTGTTGTTTGCTGCTGTCCTGCGCGTCTCTCCAATGCGCAAGCAGAGAGTACCTGCATTCCAACCATGGTCGGCGATAATTGGGGGACCGATGTCTCGTCGCCCCTCCCTTCTCACATCTCCGCCTTACCTTCCCTCCTTCCCTCCTCCCTTGCTCCGTCATCCCCTCCACTCCACCCCTTCACCCGGAGGACAGCCGCGTGGCGCGCCAACTGCCTGCGTCCAGCAAGAAGCCGGGCGGCGCCGACACCGTGAGGTACTCGCCGTTGTAGAGGTGCTCCCCGAGCTGCAGGGTGGCGCCTCGCTGGGCCCTACTCCCCGTCCGAGGCCTGATGTTTTGTATGGGGACGACACGCTTTCCATAGCAAAACCATGGAAGCCCAAGAAGCCCAGGGCACCCTGGAGGCAAGCAGGGTGTTCCTTGGCATGGGTTTCCACTGTACGTGTCCACCGCTTTGGGGACCGATGCCCCCGGAGCAGAAGAGCCGATGCCCCCAGACGCAGCTGCACGGTTTCCCCCGGGGCCGTAGGCGACCCGAGGAGGATGCACACATCCGAGAAGGGTTCGACCCAATTCACATGCACAGACAAAACGTTGGAGCTAGGCCAGGAGGGAGAGAACATCCTCCTCCTCCGCCCCACCCTGGGCCTTCCGCTCCTCAGCCTGCCTCCCCAGGGCCTGTGCAGCCGCGTCCGATAGGCCGTACAACGCCAGGACGCGCTGCCAGTCGGCGGCGGGCGGGGCTAGCCGCCCCTCGCGCGCGGCCGACTTGGTGAGCTCCGCGATTTTCGCGGGCCCCGGAAGGCCCTGGGCCCAGGCAGAGAAAAAGGGAAGCCACTCGGCCCTGACCTCGGGGGCTGGGGCTCCCACATGTGCCAAAACAAACCCCTTTGGATTTCTATGGCCAGGATACTGACCAGCTCGAAACTTATTAAGATAGAAGCCACGACCTCCGCCAGCGACAGGGCGACACGACGAACGAAGATTGCCACGTTTCGAGCTGGTGTGCGCCATGCTGCCGCACCTTACGCACATGAGCAAACTATCATGAAAGGTCTCGCGATCGGCTTCATAGATGTCGGCCTGCTCCAGCAGGTGACCCATCTGCCTCCAGGCTCCTGGTGAGGCGCCGATCGGGGCCTCAACAGGGCCACAAGACGACGGAGGGGGAGCAGCATCGGCAGCAGCAGGCTCAGACCCCACCCCCGAGGAGGAAGGGATGGGGAAGCCCGGGATCGCATCTAGCATAACATAGTTGAGCCACTCGAGGCCTACATGATCTTGCTTAGCAAGATCCCTGCAATCGAACTGCTGCGACGCACAGAAGATGCCGAGACAGCGAGCGAATTCGGAGCAGCCTGACACACGGAGCCTGCCTTGGGCACTTACGCGATACTGCTCAGCTCCCTGTTTCGCGAGCCGGTCTGCTTCTGAATTTCCGAACCTTTGAAGGTCCGTGATCTTGCCCTCTCTCACGTCCTTCATCGACGTGTGGGCGGGAATCTTAAACACTGTCAGACCTTCTAAACGATCGCCGAGCTCGGCCCACCAATGTGCCCTGGCTGACTTCACACCGGCGGCTCCCGAGGGATCTCGGAGGCAGCCGACCGTGCCGGCACAATCGATGTACAGGGAGACCTGGGGTCCGAGGACCGCTCGACGAGACAACATGAGCACTGCGAAATCCTCTCCGTCGCGTGCCAGCTGATCTGGCGCCTCGGCCAAGGGTGCTACGCCGAAGAGCGCCGCCAAGGTTCGGCCTTCTCTGTCCAGGACTACGACGGCCCATCCCGCCGTACGCAGGCCAGGCATGCTTCCCTCGAACCCCGACCCGTCCGTGAAAACATGGGCCCCCTCGGGGATGAACAAGGGGCCGTCCTGTGGCCATTGAAAGCGACGCGAGCACGGGTCCAGCGGGCCCCTCGGAGGCCTCCGAACGCATGACGTGGGGTCTGGGAGCATGCACCTGCTAAAAAGTTCCCGAGCCTCCCTGGACAGATGGCCAAGATTGCGAGCAGCCTCCTCCACCACGGGATCCAGGTTCTCGCGGCGCCAGGCGGCGAAAGCACAGCAATGGAAACGCCGATGGAAGAGATCCCCTACTGCTTCACCACACAGCTGACACTCTTTGCCAGCTTCGGGACTATGGGCTGAGATACGGACCTGCGACCAATATGCATTCGCCAAGATGGCCGAAAGGACAGCCTTGTGCCCCTTGGTCCAACAATCATTGTTTTTCCCAGCTAAAAGTTGATAGAAGGGGGCCCAATGGATAGGCCCACTCCACTCCTGGAAGTCATACTGCTTAGACTGCTCCTCCCGCTCGATAGCACGCCGCACTGCGCTACGCACGAGAAGGCCGAAAAAACTCGGACAGAAGCGCTCCACAGCCCAGGACCTGCCACGATCATCCACCAAGGAGAGAGTGTTAAAATCGAACTCCCAGCGGATCCTGGCCAGGAGCAAGAAGAGGGCAGCAACAGGTTGGCGGACTTGGCCCCACGGGCTAGCCTTGGCCAGGACCGCCTTGGCATCTATCACGCATGACTGCAGCACATCATGTGTTATAGACTTGGCCCATAGAACTCCTACGAACTCTCGTACAGCTGCAACGATAACCACCACAAGCGGATCCCTCATCCAGAGCCGAGCAGAGGAAAGGAACCGGAAGCCCAAGGACGTCCCGGGGAGGAGCGGGCCCCAGGACCTCGCCGCTTGGATCCGCAACTTATGGAGGCTCGTTGGGGGTATCCCTAAAATGTGGGACCCCCAAATGGCCTTCGCGAGGGGTCCTACACGGAAGACTCTGCTATGTTTTTCGCTCTGCCCTAAGTTGCGAAGAGCAGCTCCCGAGGCCGACGCGTCGGACAGCCGTTGTGCCTGCGTGCCCACTCGACGGACGCTGCCATCGTTCGAGTCCCCGCCGAGGTCGCGGTGCGCGGAGACCAGCTTGTCGGCCCCGAGCGTCCATCTCGGATCCTGCAGCAGCTCGGGCAGCAGCTCGCGGTCCGAGAGCATAAAGCAAGTCTTGCCCCAATTGATTGGCAACTGCTTCGCCTCCAGCTCCGCAGTGACGATCGCAAAGCTGCCGATCGTCGCCGACATCGTGGTTGCTGGGCCTCCGATGGTGTGCGTGGTGAGGTCATCCACCACGTTCAGCGTTCGACATGGTCGTGACTCGACCGCGATCCTCCGGAGAAGCGTCAAAGTGAGTAGCTTGGCGACTCCTGTCGCCGCGCTGCACCCGGCCACGATCGTGCCGCTCGGGTGGCTGAGGTGGCTGGTGCCGCCAGTCCATCTGGCTCTGCGCGGGGCCCTGTAGAGGCAGCAGAGAGCCTTCAGGAGTGCCCCGTCGAAGGCGAAGTGTTCTCCTGCCTGACGTAGCTCTTGGTGGCTAACGTTCTCGTAGAACTTCCGAATATCGTAGAAGACAGTCGTGGCCGTGAGGCCACGCCTGCGCGCATGACAAGACAGCATGTTGTGAAGGTGTGCGGCTTTATCACAACTGCTCGCAGCATCCTTACCCCAAAAGAAGTCTGCATCAACCGAAGCCTCCCACTTCTTGACATAAGTTCGTCTGACTCTGCTCCAGATTCTGGCCCAGAAGCAAAGAAGGCCGATTGGCCTGGTGCCCCCGTCGGCCTTGGGCAGGAACACACTCATGGTCACCCACATGTTCACGCAGGTTGGTCTCTTCTCCCATTCAGACAAGATCCCGGCCAGCCTCGAGACGAACACACCGTCCAAGAAGGCGACCAGTCGCATGTGGAAATTGTCCCAGCCGGGCCCCGTGGATGGTCCGAAGCTCTTGCAGGCGTCGATCACCTGCTGCTCACTGATGGGCCCCAAGGTCCAGGCGTAGCTCCAATCCTTGGGGTGCGCCTCCTCCGTCCTCTTGGTGGAGATCCACAAGCTCTCCCACTCCTCCAGGACGGCTTCGATGGCAGCAGCCCCCGCTAGGCCGCGGGGCGGTGTTCCGGACTTCGGGCAGGCATCCTCGAGCCTCTTGGGCCTGCAGACGGCGTGTGCCAACTTGCCCGAGCCCTCGGCCGCCGACTCACCGAAGTCCCTCCAAGCCTTGCTGCGAGCCTTGGAGTCCTGACGACGGCGCTCGTCCACCTCGCCAGTTAACGCAACGCGGAACCACGCAGCCAATTGACCTCCCCGCTGCGCGAGGTTGATCCACTTCTCAACTTGAGGCTCCCTGAGTAGCATAGAATCAGATACAGGCTGAGGCAGCGTCAAGTTCCGAAGCTGCTGCATGACTCGGTCCCGGTGCACTGCTCGAGCAGACATGGACCCCGCAGGCGAAGATGCCGACGCGCAGAGACTGTCCCAGAGGCGAAGAGCTGAGAGCCAAGTCCTAGCGTCAGTCTCGTCATGGCGTTCGAGAATACCCTTGGACAGTTCGCTAAGGTTCTTCTTACGCATAACAACTCCCTTGCAGCGTCCAAAGTAGAAGCGAGCATCCTTCTTGGGAATCTCGAACAGCTCCACAAGGTAGCGCTCGGCTGCAGAGAACCAGCAGGCCGCCTCTGGATCAATGTCATCAATAGGGCGATCCAGCGCCCACTCCCCACGAACAGTGACAGAAGGAAGGGGGGAAGGAGGTAGGTCCCCACCTGCTTGACGTCGCGCCTTCGCGGCCTTTGCTCTGGCCTTAGCCTTGGCCTCCTGGTCTGCCAGGGGGAAAGCCCTCGGCGGCGACTCCACCCACGCGAACGGCTCGTCACGGATGCCCTTGATCTGAATCGAAACGTAGCAGTGCGGGGACACGGGCGCATCAGTACGAGCTTCCACTGTCATAGGGAAGGCGCCCAAGCACTGGGGCCCGATAAAATAGTCGTACTCATGGCCATTGCATGTAGGCACCCCCGGAGCATAAGCCGTAGCTGAGGCCAGCTCCAGCCAGCCCGTGCCCAAGACTTCCTCGGGCTCCATGTTCCAATCACCTCCCAGAAGAAAAGGGCAACGCTGGGACCCCAGATACGTTCCCAAAAACTCCAGAATGTCAATGTTCTCGCCCTTGGGCCCGAGAGAGTCGACGCAATAAACAGAGCCAACGATCATCCAAGAGTGGGGCCCGAGCGTGAGCAGGCGTAGGAGTACTCGATGCTGGAAGCGCTCGGGAATGGGGTCGAGGATCGCGACGCCGAGGCCGAACGCCGAGACCAGTCCCACTCCTGCAGAAAGGGCCCGAGCGGCCTCACCAGTGCGCACTGACGATCCCAACGCCAATCTCCTGGAACAAGTGCGGACCCATTGGTGTGCTCCCGGCTCGTTAGAGTAAGCCAGCTGC